AGAGGATTAATTTGTAGCAAACTGCCACCTTTGGCTTTGGGATGTAGCATTAGCCTATTATGGTGTCACCGTGCCAATTATGCCACAGTGATGATGTCATTACTACCTCCCCTTATACTGTGAAGTCACGTCTCCAGTGCCCATACCATCATGCCATGGAGAGTGAAGAGCCTTGGCTAGTTTCTCACGGCAAACCTTATTGGAGGCTAGGATTGCTGCTTCTCAACTAGTCAAAGATTCCTCTGCCTTTAAGGCTTCTAGTCATTTTGTTCTGTTCCCCAAGTTTGGGTGCGGTGATCCTGTAGCCTTTGAGGAACAAATTGTTCCAGCATTTGGTTTTATGGTTAAGTACAGTGGGGTCTCTACTTAAGAAAGCATTTGGTTTTATGGTTAAGTAGTGTGTCATTTTTTTCAGTGTATCATTTTTTGCCTTTGGCAGTCAACCGTTTGCTGTTTTGAAAAGAGTTGAAATGGTGCCATGATATATATATTTTTTACAGTGGACCTTCTACTTATGGAATTAATCCATATTGGAACGGTGGCTGCAGGTCGAAAGGTCTGTAGGTCAATCTCCATTGACCTACAATGCATTGAAAACCGATTAATCCCATAACCAGCCATTTTTGTTCAATTTTTGTTCCATTTTGGTTTTTTCTAGTCTGTAGGTCAATTCTCTGGCTGCAAGTTGAACCTAAATTTTGCAGCCAGAGAAGTCTGTAACTTGAAAAGTCTGTAAGTTGAGCCGTCTGTAAGTCGAGGGTCCACTGTACATCAGGGCAGAGGTCTATCAGAGCCAACTTTGTTAGTGAGAACCTTATCAGTGGAATTCTGTGAACTTTGGACTGTCTTAAAGTTAAGGAAGAATAGAACTGGAAGAGGGCAGTGTAATGTTCACCCTTTGTTAGGTAATAAGGCATGTATTATTCATTTTCTATGCTAATGTGGTTGAGAGGCGAAGCCGAGAGAGATGTTCCTGAGAGGAGGATGGGAGAAGAGTCTGTGTTAGGAATCGGAGAGAGAGACAGTTTGCGGTTCTGAGAAGTGATTAGTCTGAGGAGTGATTAGTAACCTGTGATATTTAATATAGAAGATTAATATTGATACTTGGTGAAACTGAAAGAAGATGCTTATGAATTATCCTAGAAACCATCTGTAATCAATAAACCTGTTCTATTAAAAAGTTACTACTGAATGGACGTTCTTCTTTTCTAAGTACAGTACGTTGATAAGGAGATCAACTGGTGGCAGCGTGTGAAGAGAGGTTTTGGTCTACTGTACCTTCATGAGCTCCGTATTTAGGAAGACAAGCAGGGGCCACAAGGGGTGAATGTCACAGGCAGTTAACTACTTTCCCAACTGTCAGGGATTAAGATTCTAATACTAATTTGCATAAAACTACTTCCTGGAATTGGCCTTCTCAGCTACACTAGATGCTGTTCCAAGGCCTCCATACAGAGCATGTTACCATAGTCTCTCGAGACTGAAGGATGCCTAATCAATCACTTCCTGGAACAAGTGGGAGCAGTAACCCCAGCAAGGATACTATTGTCTCTTGAAGAAGAATTGTGTTGTCAGATCACACCCAAGGCCCAGCAAAAGATTTCTGACAGAGGTCAGCTAAATGCTACATGGAAAACTTAAGCAGGAAAGAATGGAGGTAAATTGCTCTTACTGTTTCTATGTACCAGTAATCAGAACTACAGTTTCTCTGGACACAAAAGTTCTAGATTCAGTCAGTGTGTACGTAGCTTTATGGGTTATGAATTCTCTTATATTATTTTAAAAGGTTGAAAAACAGCCCTGACAAATTGCTTTGTGTTTCAGTGCAAGGTGGTTAAATAATGAAAAAAGGAGTCACCTTCTGGGATTTTCCCTTGCTTGGTGTCACTTTGTGAATGTCACAGAGCAAAAGGGCATATCCTGTAGACTAGCCTTTCCTAACTTTGGGTCTTGGAATACAACGCCAAGAAATCCTGGCCAGCACAGCTAGTGGTGAAGGCTTCTGGGAATTGTAGTCCAAGAACATCTGGAGGCCCAAGGTTGGGGACCACTGCTCTAGAGGCATTTAAAGTAGAAAAAATGTATTTTTACTTACAATTATCATCTATAGTTACAGTCAGAAGAAAAAAGGAGGGAGTGGTGTCTCCAGCATGAAGGAGCTCCTGCATGCTTGCTACTTGGAGGAGGATCAGAAAGAGAAAAGGGGTTATCAACAAAACAATGGAGGCAACAAATAAATGGAAACAGGGGATGGAGGCTTGCCTCAAATGCCAAAGGTGAGAAAAGAACTTTACCAATCTAGTGGCAAAAGAGAATCACATCGTCATGTAGTCGTTTAGTCGTGTCCGACTCTTCGTGACCCCATGGACCAGAGCACGACAGGCCCTCCTATCTTCCACTGCCTCCCGTAGTTGTGTCAAATTCATGTTGGTTGCTTCGCAGACACTGTCCAACCATCTCATCCTCTGTCTTCCTTAGGCTTCCTTAGGCTGCAAAGCCACCCTCCCACTGCTAGATTGGTAACCACTGCTGTAGACCATTTTGACTGCTGCCAATGGTGTGAACATTCAGGCTGCCCTTTGCTATGTAAAGCTTGGTATCCTTTTTCCCGCTGGTACTGTGGGGCATAATATTGTGCAGCAATACTGGGCCATGTCCTGGTGTTTTCAATCATAGATACAGAAGCACAACATCCTGTGTTCATAAATTGGATATTTTTTAAAATAATTGAATTATAGTACTGTATATGTTTACTTATTTGGTTGGTTTTGCTTGTTTGTCTTGTTTGCTTGCTTGCTTTTTGCTGCTGCTTTTTTTTTGGCACTGCAGTCTTCTTCATTAGGTGCATCTGCTGGGAGACCGCAGCCCACAAAAGCTTATACTGAGAAGCTGGAATTCATAAACTGGGACTTTAAATTGCCACAAGACCCTATTTTTGTCATGTTAATACGAATTTCATCATTTTTCATGCAAAGCTTTCTGCAAAGGGTATCAGCAATGTCAAAGGAACTTTATTGCCTGAAATCATCCTTCTAAAGCCAAAGTGGGTAAAGTGAAGCCGCCTAGATGTTTTTTCAGCTGGTACTTTCATCACTCATTGGCTCGGCTGGATAGGGCTGAAACAATTCTAGTTCAACATCTGGCAGGCCACATCTTCTCCATCCTGCTCTAAAGGGTGCTTAAGTGATGTCTCTAATATTGTGATGCCATCTGGTGGCCAGTTCAGTTTCAGGACTGGTGCATTCTGATTTGTTTCATCAAAAGTTTGACAGAGTGATAAAACTTTTCAGTCCACTTTAAAGCTCTCAAACACTCAAGAGCAATTAGCAAAGATAGCAGGGAGACCAACAGCATGTATAGCTCAGTGGATAAGAATATATACTTAAGAATTTCTGGTTAAAATCTTGCCTCTACCTTATTGAGTTATTACTTATTTAATCTGCTAACAGGAATTGTGACCCAACTTTCAGAATTACTATTTTTTTTAATGTGGTCTAAATGTTTGAAATGGCCTGTATAAAATGGTGGTTGCTGTGAAACCCAGCACATGTATCTCCTGACTATTTCAATCAGCTTACAGTCTTTAAGTGGAAGATACAGGCTTGAAACCCACTGAAATGCTTGAAGATCAGTGGAGAAATCTGCTATGTCATATACTATATTGTTATAATGCATTTTGGCCTTCATTGTGTGGACCATAGATTGCCAAGTAATCACAGGCACAGATTGGGTTCTGGTTTGTGATTCCAGGTGGTCCTGCATATACTACTAACAGATGAGTCTTAGGAAAGTGAATTAATTCAATCAGTGAAATGGTCTGTCTAACCAAATATCGCCAGCTCTAACTGGCAGTTGCTATCTAGGGTTTCAGGCAGAATTCTTTTACAACCCTAACTGAAGATGCTGGAGAGTCAACCCAGAACTTTATGCATACAAAGTCTGTGCTCTGCCATTGTGCAGTGGTCCCCTCTCAGTATAACAACAACAATTGACCATCAAGTCAATTTTGACTCACAGCAACTCTTTCCAGAGTTTTCTAGGTACGGAATACTCAGAAGTGTTTTACCCTTCCCTTCTTCTGGGGCACTCTGGAATTGTGCAGTTTTTTCCTAGGCCATGTAGACTAGCTGTACTCCCTGGAGGCATAGTGAGGAATCAAACTCCCTAGCTCTGGCTTCGCAGCCAAATACTTAAACCCCTGAGCTATCTCAATATTCTTTAGTGGTCTTTCATTTGGTAGTACAGGCTTTTACTGGATAAACACACTTGAGGATCCTCCATCCGAAACCTTCCTAGGTCATGTGCCTTCTTTCTTTTTTAATTACAGTGGTGCCTCGCTAGACAGTTACCCTGCATGACAGTTTTTTCACTAGACATTGGCTTTTTGCGATTGCTATAGCAATTCGCAAAACAGTGGTTCCTATGGGAGAATTTCGTTGGACAATGTTTGGTCCCTGCTTCGCAAACCGATTTTCGCTAGACGAGGATTTGACAGCTTCCTCTGCTTGCAAAACAGGTGTTTTCGGGGAACTAAGCTTCGCAAGACAGTGATTTAAACAGCTGATCGGCAGTTCGCAAAGCGGCTTTCCTATGGCCGATCTTCACTGGACAATGACGATTCTTCCCCACTGGAACACATTAAACAGGTTTCAATGCATTCCAATGGGGAAATGCTTTTC